TTGTAAAACACCATGAACCCACCAATGTCTCTTTCTCAACTTGTACGCTTCTTATGAACCTCCATCATCTTTGTGATTCTTATCTTGCACTATTAGCCAACTTATGACTCTTCAATCCCTTCCTTTCTCCTTCATTGATTTTTAACGAAAGAAAAATGTTTAGCATTCATTCATTACAACCATTGATTGATCGCCTCTAAACCAAAATGAGTTCAAGCTCTGTTGATTTTGTACTAGGCAGACTCATCACCCTCCTACAAAATGAGGCATCTTCCTTATTGCGAGTTCCTGATGAAATCCGTGAAATGAAGATTCTACTCCAAAACATGAGGTCCTTTTTCGTTGATGCTGATAGAGTAAGGGCAGGAAGTCAAATCCAGAAGGTTTGGGTGAATAACGTCCGGGAGCTAGCCTATGAAGTCGAAGACGTTATCGACGAATTCACTTATCATGAGAACAAGCGACAACAATGGCGGCGGGGTAACACTTGCAAAAGGTTCATCTAACGAAGTCTTCATTTCCAAAAAGATTGGTATATGAGGCATGAAGTAGCAGCCAAGTTGCAGGACATCAACAAAAGGATGACAAGCATCACAGAGAGGGCCCATCAATTTGGAGTTCAACAACTTGATGAAAGGGGCACCACTTCTCACTATGATCCTAATTGGAAGAACAGGCTTAGCGAGTCATCGCTTTTCTTTAAAGATGATGATCTCGTCGGAATCAAAAAGGCGCAGCACGAGTTATTGGGATGGCTAATGGCTGAAGAACCCCGACGCACTGTCATTACAGTGGTGGGCATGGGCGGTTCAGGAAAAACAACCCTTGTTGCCAACACCTTCAACAAACAAAGTGTTAAACGACATTTCGAGTTCTGCACTTGGGTCACCGTCTCCCAACAATATGCAATTGAAGAGCTGTTTAGGTCCATTGCAAAAGACATCTACAACCAGACGACCGGAGACGTTCTGATGCAGGTTGATACCATTACCTACAGAGGATTGGTGGAGACACTTGTGCAGTTCTTGCAGTCAAGAAGATACCTTGTTGTTTTAGACGATGTGTGGAGCATTCATTTATGGCAAGAGATCAATATTGCATTTCCAGAAGGTATGAGCGGAAGCAGGGTCGTGGTTACTACTCGAAGAGAAGATGTAGTGCCTTGTCAATCCGGGTTTGTAAGCCATGTCCACCGAATTCAACCCCTGAGAATGAATGATGCTTGGGAGCTTTTCTGTAAGAAAGCTTTTCCAAACGGTTTAGGCGGGTGTCCATCACATCTAGATGAATCATTGGCAAGAAATCTAGTTGAAAAATGTGAAGGCCTGCCGTTAGCTATTGCAGCTCTAGGAGGGTTGATGTCTTCAAAGAAGTCGATAATCGAGTGGAAAAGTGTCATGATAATTTGGCTTGGGAGCTAAGCAACAATCCTTCACTTGAAATAATGAAAACCATATCTATGCTTAGTTACCATGATTTGCCTTTCCAACTCAAGCAGTGCTTCTTGTACTGCTCTCTTTTTCCAGAAGATTATGGGATTAAGCGAAAAAGAATTATGAGACTTTGGATGGCAGAAGGCTTTTTAGAAAGTGTTAACGACGTACAACCAGAAGCGGTTGCTGAAAGCTACCTAATGGAACTCATTAGCCGAAGTTTAGTTCAAGTCACGGACAGAAATGAGTTCGGAAGGCCAAATGAATTTAAAATGCATGATCTTATACAAGACTTTGCACTTTCGATAGCGAAAGAAGAAAAGTTTCTTGCTGCATGTAATGGAGACAAAGGTGTAGAAGATGAAGGAATTCATCGCTACTCAGTTCGAGTGAAGGATGAAGAATTAGCGGCAGGGAATGGTACATCTCAACTCCGTTCCTTGATCATTTTTGTTGTTGATGAAAGTTCTAAATTCAATAAATTGCCATCTGGTTTAAAATTGTTAAGACTGTTGGATTTGGAAAAGGCTCCAATAGATGAAGTACCAAGTGAGTTTGGAGATTTATTTAATTTGAGATATCTGAACATGTCAAGAACACAAGTGAAGAAGCTCCCAAAGTCCATCGGTAAACTTTTTAACTTGCAGTCATTACTCCTCAAGTTTACTAAAATTAAGAAGCTTCCGAATGAAATTGTGAAGCTCCAAAATTTGAGACATTTATGTGCTTTCTATTTGTTGAAGATTGAACTGAGGGATATCATGACCGACGTTAAGAGCATAGATGTATCCCCAGATATTTGTAAGATAAAGAGTTTGCAAGTTCTACACATTGTCAGAGTAACGAGTGAATTGTTAATTAAACTTGAAAAAATGGAACAATTGAGAAGGATTGGACTTGACGGATTGACAGAAGCCGATGAAGAGCACTTGTGCAACTCTATTCAAAGAATGCAACACCTTCACTACCTGTGGTTGAGTTCACAACCTCAGTTTGAACTAAAGCTGGATGCTCTTCCATCAGCCCCTCCTTACCTTGAGAGGCTTTTTCTAATTGGGAAATTGGGAAAAGTTCCACATCGGTTTAACACCCTACTCAATCTCAAACACTTGTCCCTACAGGGCTCTCAACTGGGGGAAGATGCAATTTCTCACATCCAGACGTTGCCTAATTTGGTGCGACTCAGTCTTGGGCTAAATGCATTTGAGGGAGAGCACTTATGTTTCGTTGAAGGGTTCAAAAAGCTTCAGCGCTTAGAGTTAAACGACTTATGGGAGCTGACGGAGATTGTGATAGAGAATGGCGTGATGCCTGGCCTTGAATTGTTGACGGTCTTGAGATGCAAGGAGTTGAGGCGATTGCCATACGGTTGGGAACATCAAAGCCATTTGAAGAAGGTGAGACTGTATGATGTTTCGAGTGAGCTGGTGGAGAGCATATGCGGAAAAGGAACAGACCACCTCCCCACTAAGCCACACATCCTCCTCACCAGAACCGATGAAGATGAAGCAGAAATAGAATCCAAGTGGGTACATCAAATCCTCAATTAGTTGATGTTTGTAGAGTCACAGGTACCAACACACTGCCTACCATAAACCATGACAAATAGCCACCAAACCCACTCTTAATAACAATTAATGATGCATAACTTGTTTTCTTTTTCTGACCTTGCAGAAGTGAAACAAGATGTTCATGGATGGGCTGGCCGGTCATGGTCTGGTTCAAAGAGAATTCAAGTATTCTCCATATATACATGCTTTTACTTAATTTGGATAGGGATTAAATAATTGCTAAACCTGAGTCAATCATATCTCTTATGTTAATCAGGCAGGCACTGAGTGAGTGTTGTATGATTGAATATTGTGTTTTTAATATATTTATTCAAATAATTCTTCAACTTATATTCATTTGATGATATGATCCACAATGGCAACCAAACTATATTATCGAGCATTTAACATTGTCACTAGGCAATTCATGTGCCTACAAAGCATATCTTTTTTTTAATAGGAATAATAGGCCTCATTAAAAACCTCCCTCTTAGTTAATTCTAGGAAAGAGTAACTAGCGGAAGGAGGAAAAGAGTGCCTTAATTTATTGAATAGAGAAACTATTACAATAAAGTACACCAATACATTTAGGGCATCAAAATAAAACTATAATCCTTAAAACACCCTATAGAAATACCCTTACAATCAACCAATCCTATCCTTAGTTAATTTATCTGCTTCCCAATTACATCCCCTAGGAATCCATCGAATAATAACCGCCCTCTCTTGAACTAAGGACACAATATCCACAACAAGTGAACTGAAGAAACTAGGAACAGAATTAGGCAACAAAATCCAGTCTACTGCAGATTTACAGTCACTTTCTAAGATCAGTCTTCCCTTTATAGCCCAATTTGATGATAGAAAAAAGTCTAAGCATAACAGTCTAGGCAACAAAGCATATCTTTCACAAACAGAGGCATTTCTAACAAAAATAACATGAAACAAAATCTAAACTAACAAGCATAAAATGGGTTTACAGAATCATCTTACAAAACCCATAAACATGGCAGTTCCAAATAAGAAAACAGAACTAAATCAAAAGTTATTGTATAAAATTTTACAAAATTAAAGTTCAATCAAAGTTGCTTTTAGTTTTGAATTTTGTTTGGTTTGAAAGAAAATAAGGTGAGAAAATTGAAAATTTAGTTTGAGAGATTTATTAATAATGCCATGAAAAATGAAAGAGGGATTTGTTTAATTTGTAGGGATGAAATTGAAAAAATATATATACGAAAATACTTGTTTGGTGGGATTTGTTTCATTTGTTTGAGAGATGGATATGTTTAAGGTGGTATGCTGGTACTTTTCTGGACTGGCAGATCATGTTGGTGTCCTCTCATTTTCTATTCATGAAAGTTGTTCATGCCATTTCCTTGAAAGAAGACATATTATGGCCTCATTCGTTCCACGAATATGGAAACTTTTCTTTTCCATATGGATATTGCAAGACGACAATTACGGTTGCTTAATCATTTAGGTCTCATCCATGGTGCATTCATGTTCACTCGAATGCAAGCAATGTCGTATGTTCATGCATGTAGGCCCCTTGTATATCATTGTCTTGATGGCGTTTACACAATGTTTCGTCTCAAATAATGACCAAGTGTTTCGAGTCCCTACTTAAAAGGAGTTTGTAAAGTCTTTAATTCCACTTGTAAAATCCAAAACACATTTATTTCCGATTTGTATCCATCAATAACTTTCGTTTAACTAAGTGCCACCAAACTGGATTCTGCAACTTGATCACTCCAAACGCCATTCACTTGGCTACGATTTCGAGATCGATCCGATGAGTTCCCGAGATTTCTAGAGACTCTTGGCTATAATTTATTGCTTTTCTCCATGATCATGACATACATTATGATCTTATCGTCAAAGTTCAAATCGTAACATCGATCGTTGTAATTATATTTAAAGTGATAAAATTATATAAATCATGGCAGAATTAAAATTGCCTAAGTTTTAACAAACAAACATAATTAACCAAACTAATGGAGGCAATCATGTGGGTAAAGGTCATGCCTCCTATGTGAAAATGTTAATCAAACAAGCTAGGGCACTTTGTTTTAGTGTTCAAGAGGGTTTAAACCTTTGCAAGCATGTCCTTTTGTTGTTCTTCGAGTTGAATCTCCTTCTCGTTGGTGTAAAGGTTGATACATGTGTACCATTTGGCACAGAACACGTAGATTATAAAATCGAGAGCGGCTAGACCGGCGATAAGGAAGTAGAACCGGTCCATATGGCCTTGGTTCAAGTCGGCCGGGATCCAACCCGGACTGCCACCTCTTGCTGTGATCCCCATAACCATGCTAACTAATAAACTGCTAACGTAGTTTCCGAGTGAAATGGACGCCATGCAAAGGGAGCTTCCGAAGCTTTTAATGCCGTCGGGAGCTTGTCCGTTGAAGAACTCCAATTGACCGACGTACATGAAAACTTCTGATGCGCCGACTAGAACATATTGTGGAACTTGCCAAAATATGCTCAAAGAACTTTTTTTCTCGCCCGGGATCACATATTTGAGTCTTTGTATCTCGGTGACACCAGCTGCGACCATTGCAAACATTCCGATCACGAGGCCGATTCCCATTCTTTGAAGCTCGGTCAATCCCTTGGGGTTACCGTTTAATCTTCTGCCCAATGGCACGAGGATTTGACGGTAGATTCCGGTGGTAATGAGAACACTACAGATGTCGAAAGCCGACATGCTGGCAGCCGGAAGGCGGAAGTGTCCGAGTTTCGAGGCCATTACATCTCCTTGCTCCACAAAAAGGGATGCCATTTGAGTGAAGATGACAGAGTAAATTATGGTGCATAGCCAAATAGGTAACATCTTTAGTACACATTTGGCTTCTTCAACTTGAGTTACAGTGCAAAGCCTCCATGGATCTTCTCCACACATATCATCTTCTGTTATTGTAGCCGCCCTGTCCAGGAACCTGCAAGTAAAATTTTCAAATAAATACAGAGGACGGTCCATCGTCGATAAGAGAAAAGATCGTAAACGTTAAAATTTGAACTCAAGACCGGTTCAAAATTATCTTTTATACACTTACTTAAAATCGTCACTGTGAAGAATCTTTCTGCTGCCTTTGATTGCAGATTCTGTTCCTTCCACCTCATACAATTCATCGGCAGTAGCCGGCAAGACGTCGCACTTCCGATAAGCGGCGACGAATACTTGGCCGACTCGTGGCAGTGGGTTGCCACATGGCTTTACATACCTATATCTTGATGTTCCCAACAAATACAATAGTAAGGCTATAATTGCAGAACCTAACGAAACCAAGAAGCCTAGCGTCCATTCTCCTGAATCCTCGTAGTAAACCAGTATGGTGTTCGAAAACAAAGATCCGACGTTCAGTGCAAAGTAGAAGTAACAAAAGAATGTAGCTTTCGAATAGGCCGCCCTCGGGTTCGAATCATCGAACTGGTCTGCTCCGAAAGTGGCTATCGTCGGTTGATGCCCGCCATATCCGAAGGCAATCAGATATATCGATAAGTAAAAGATACCGACACCAACTGGAGACGAGCGTGTGCATATCTTCGTTCCATCGCCACAACCAGCAGGGTTTATCAAGAAAAGCCATGAAGCAAAGGACAATAGCCCCAAACCCTGCAAACACCAATCATAATATCAATCTGGGAGACTGGGACTGATTAAACGCAAACAACATTTCGATATTCATATACATTACCAGCACGAGTATGAGCTGAAAGACGGCACACGTCAAGTAACAACCCCAGTAAGAATCGCTGAGGAACGCTCCGATCAACGAACAGAGGTAAACGGTTCCGGTCCATTTGCTGACATTATTCGCAGCATCGGCATTATCTTGGTCTAGAACCCTGGTCAAGAACAATACCAAGTTCACACTTACTCCAAAGAAAGCTAACGTTGCTAGGCTCTGATTCACTGCAACAAAATACAAGTTCATCAATCATTTCTCGTGTTTACTTCATATAAAACAATATAACTTCATGTACAAAAGATCATTTAAAAGCTTATTTGAGAAATACCCAGCAGGAGACTTGCATAATTCCATCCTCCTGAGTTCTTCCTCTCATTTTTATTCACCGCCTCCTCTTGTTTAGAGCCAATAATTTCAGGCTCGTGGACAGCCATTGATAGTTTCTTCTTCAAGAAAGCAGTGGAAACAATGAAGATAAACTTACCTAGACTTGAACGGAAGGCAAGCTATCAAGAGATAGAAATTAAAGGAAGCTTTCTTATTAGGAGAGAAGAGATGAAAGAATGGTACGAGAAGAATATAAGGGAAGAGTCCATTATATATACATATAAAATTTATATTTTAAGTGACACTATTAGTAAATTAAATAATATTATATAATTTAATATTTGATATAATAACAATATATAATTTTATTAACAAATATACATAATTATTCATTATCAAGAAAAATATAGAAATTAATATGAAGAGTGTATGCCACATATATTAGGTCATTTTTTTTCATCCATGAAATATTGGTTAGTGGGCTTTTATTTTCAATTTGAAAGTGATATTCCATCGTTATCTCTCTTTCCTATGCTCATATTTCAAAATATATTTGATATTCACTCCTAAATTTCACCTATGATATGCTTAAAAAACTCCCATTTCTTTCTTCTTCCTTTGTTGTGGTATGCGAGTTTTCTATGCAAGGTAAACGTTCCAAGGATAAAAAGAGAAGTGATCTATATATTGAAATAGAATGAAAGAATGTATCATTTTTCAAGAATAAATATGGATACATTAAAAAATTAGATAAACTACATATATGATAATTGATTTTTTTTATTTTATCAATCAGATTATTTAACTATTTAAATATTGTTAATTAAATCATTTGTTGTCAACTTTTGATGAAGGAGGTGACGTGACAGTTAACAAAATTAGTATAATTACATATTTGGACCAGTAGTTAGAGCGTGCCCCAAAGAAGCCAACTTCAATTTCTCTCGACCTCATTCTTAAATAAGTTCTTCGATCAAAAGGTGGCACGTTTCTTCATATGATGAAAGGATTACATTTATCGAATTAAATTAAAATCAAGACCAAAAATTATAGAATGTGTAAGTACTGAGAACCAAATTAAATTCAGTGACCAAAATAAGAGTGAGAAGATAGTTGAGTAATGAACGATGTAATTTACCCGTAAAAGGTATCATGTTATAACATTTCAGTTAAGTTTCTAATGGCGAGATACTAAAACGAAACAGAAAGTAAATGTTATGTATTATTTTAAAATAAATTAAAGTTTAGGTACAAAAACGAAATAAAACTGATAATCTAGAAACTAAACATGTAATTTACCCTTATAAATGTTAAGATTCCAAATTCCAATACGATTATTTTTATTACTTGTATCATAATTAAATTTTGTAATGTATGTGACAAATAATATTCCATGCAACAAGACTAAAGTTTCTTGTAAAGGAAACGTAATGTATTTTAATTAAAGATGAAAGCTTATTCTCATACGATCTTTCCACTCGTATGCAAACATTTCTTTAGAGGAAAAGTTATGTTACAAACCTTTTACGGAACTTGGTTACTGACTTGGTAACCTCTTCCGGAGTTGTTGAAGTCGACTTCGGCGAGTGAAGAATCGATGTCGAGGATTCGATCTCCGAGTAAGCGAAAAGACCTTCAGTTATAATCGTTTATTAAGTTAAATAAATGACGAACATAATCTAAAGTATGTTCGATTCATTTATGTTCACGAACAAATTCGTTTATCGACTCATTTATAAATTCTTTTACTCGATTCTCCTCTTCCTTTTATTTTCTATATTTTAAATATTGGTGAAGGTAGAGACAAAAAATTGAACACATGGTGGACTTTCAAACTCAAACTGTGAACCATAAAGAACTTAAGGATTAGTAGCATAATTTCACCATTTTCTTTGGTTTGCAAATAAAAGGATAAAAATAAACAAATGAACATGTTAGCGGACGCTAATCAAATATAAAACCTCTAAAAATAAATAAACATACCCGAGCACAATATAAAAACGTAAACGAACACGAATCGAATATGAAACACCTTAAAAATAAACAAACAAACAAACAAACATAAACAGAACCTTATTTGTTCAAACTTAATTCATTTACACCCCTATTTATATCCTGATTTAGGGTTTATTTTGATGAAAGCTTCAGGAGACATCGTATCCAGATCATAGCAAACAAAATGCATTGATTCAAATAAATACAACCAAAGGCGTATTTAGGGGTGTACCTACCTAGGCCATGACTCATCTTATGTTCCAAAAAATTATAATATAATTTAAATAAGAATATGTATAAATTAGGTTAAAAATTATATTGGCTTAATTGATATATATTTTTAGGTTAGGATAAATATTTTAGTTTAGGATAAATATATTTCACATTAAAATATGAATATTTTCGGTTATTTATTTATTTTATTAATTGTGTTTATCTTAACAAAGTTTTAGATCTATTACTGCTTATTATGAAGATATACCCCAAAATAAACTGGTCAAAAGCTTTATAACGCAATCTATAATTTTCGAGTCCTTGGACGAACAAAATCTCCAACAATCAATCAACATATCACCATTAGTCCCATTAATATGTTTTAATTAAATGAATTGTCATTTAGATTATTAATTTGAGAGTCATTGAACAAATCTATTTTACGAATTACAACTCAATCGCTTGAAGGAAATTTGTTTTTAAGCGATAAGAACGGGTCCATATACCACTATCCAAGATCCAAGACTGACTTATCAAATCAAAACATAAGTAATTTCCATTTCAACTTTCTAAGCTAAATTATCAGCTGTCTCCCACCAAACCCTAGTTTACAGCAAAATATGTCTTCCACTTTGTCGTTCCTTCCTCTATTCATAATAATAAGATAGTAATAATAAGATTAAAGTATTTAGATAGTAATAACAAGGGTAAACTATACAACTAGTCATCAGATTATAGGACGTTGTTTTGTTGAGTTTCATGACTATTAAAAGTTACAAAATGATCACTCGACTATTCATATGTTCCAAACTCGTCCATTTCTTTTAAAAATTTGGTGGTTGTCTGAGTTTGACGTTAACCTGTTGATAGAGATATGATAAAATCAGATTCAAGAACCATTTGAGATTTATTTTATGGATTGAATCTCCGTTTACACTATATCACCGAGCCAATATTGCTTGAAATATTATGTCGTTAAGCTAGTGATTGAACGCAACGGTAGTGTCAATAGACATCATTAAAATATGATTTTATCATATCTGAATCAGTAGATTAACGTCTAATTCAGATTGTCGTCAATTTTTAATGGAAAGGGGTCAATTTTTAATAAATAGTAAGGGGACTCAACAAAACATCGTCCTATAAATGATAGATCGGCATGTTCACAAGTCAAGTTATCCTTCTAAATCGGTTCAATTACTAAATTTAAAATAAAAAATAAATATTTAAATTTGTTTATATTAATATATAAATAATATCTCAATAAATTATATGCATTTTTTCGGAAGAAGTTCTAAATTCATATCTTTAAAGTATTTAGGATCATTTACACTAGATATCTTTAAATTTATGTGTGGGTCAAATTTTAAATTGATCTAAAATTTTAAATATTTTAATTAAGTCCCTAAATATCAATATCTTTCTAATTAGATTATTTCATTAAAGGTTTCGTTAGACGTCAGTTGTTTAATTGTGTCAACACTTGATTGTGAGATATGGTTGTGTTTTTTTAATTATTTTTCTTTTAAACTTTATTGTTTCTCGTTTTGTTATTAATGTTTTATTCCTTTTCTTTTCTATAAGCAAATAAATAATAATTTACGTTACAATTAAAGTGATCTTAAATTTATAATTATTTTATTGAATTATAATATGAAATATTTATTAATATAAAATGTAAAAGGAGGAAACTAAAATATAAAAAACAGTTTTTTTTATAAAACTGATACAATCAAATAAAAATATAATTACTTATAAATCTTTAATTAATTCTAAAAAATTAACAAATCATGTAAAAATGATCATTCAAATGGATTAAAGAATGAATGACTAAAGAAAATCGGAATAATTTTTTTAAAAAATAGAATGATGATCTAAAAATATATTAAAAACCTTTTTATATGTTATTAATAACGCCGAGGGTTTATGTGGATGGTATTATCTTTCCCAAAAAGGAAGAAATGTTGGAGTGTTGTTTCATGCTAAATATGTCGAAATAAGAATAATTAAAATTTATAATTTTAATCACAGGAAGCTAAGTCAAAGGCAGTCCTATATTTTTGTCGTTTGCCCTAAAAATTTTCGCAAAGGAAGACCAGCAAATAGTTTGTCACGTGAACACTACTCCTTTGAAATGACAAATAATAGTGCCTTAAACTCTGCTCGAATCATGCTAATGCATCTTATTGTTGGATAAAGTAGGAGCTAAGCCTTTTACTAATGAGAAATACCAAAGCCGTCCATTGTTGGCTTCTTCTTTTTATATATAAAATAATATATATATATAAATTGAGGATCATCCCTTTATGTTGTTTAGGGATTGGCCTCGTGCATCTTTATAATAAAAAATTGATAAAAATAATCTATTTTGGTCAACCCTATTTTATAGAGACAAATCCTAAAAAATAGAAATAGAGATTAAATTGTAAAGGTAAGAAAAATACAGGGACTTGAAAAATATTTTAACTCGAGAGACCAAAACCTAACCGTCTGTCCTTTCAACTGTGGATCATCACAATGTTTTTCCAGGGAGACAAAAACCTAATCGCCTCTCTTTTCAACTGTGGATCATCATCATCATATGTAGCAACATTCAATCGTCAGATTCGTTTGCCGGTCAGTCCAACAACAGCTCCATATATACCTCCTTGCAAAACGTGGCCTCAATTAATTGGCGTTTTTACCTAAAAATAACTCTGACAGGAATTATTTGCCTATCACGTACCGTTCAAAAAAAATTATCGATCTAACATTTTTTCTAACAAGGCACAATTAATGATCCGTGCCTTTCTGGGATCAAACAGTGTCAAAAGAAAACAGCTCATTGAAACCTTCTCGAACAAGTCAATACTTGTAAGTAAGAAAATGAATCCACCCACATCTATTTCGATTTTTTTTTTTAATTTATTCTTTATACAATGATTTGTTTACATCGATTAATTCGGTTAAATTAATAAAATATTATAGTTGAATTTCCTTTAAGAAATATCCATATCAAATTAGTAAAATGAAGTTAACTTTATAATGATTAG